TTACGTAAAAAACATATTGGTTAACCGGTTTCATCAGTAACCGGATTATCAATTATACCCCATTTTGTTCAAGAAATCGTATTTAGTCAAAACTCAATACACCGAGTAAACCGGAGAAAATCAGGATCGTAACGGTATAATTATACTTTTAATTTTTTTCTCAATAATTTTTTGTCATCTTTTTTCAATGATTCGATCCGGAGGGTTATTCTTGTAAATGAGAAAAAAAATTCAAATGATTTAAATTGTTTGTATTGATGTCACATTTATTACCTTAAACAGGTTATCGACAGTGATAAGCTCATGATATTTTTCCATTAACATCACTTGTTTATTACTACATTTTATGTATCTCTATGAAAACATAAATGTTTTGATTTGATAATCTTTTTCTATTGTTGTCTGATTTTGGTAGATAGAGCTGAGATGGAGAAATGCGGACTAGTAGTTGCATCAGCCATTTTTAACGACCATGACAAGATTAGACAACCCGTGGGACTAGGAGTTAAAACCCTTAAAACCGTTTGCTTCTACATGTTCATCGACGATAAAACCCTAAACTCCCTCTTACACCACAATGTCATCCCGCAGAACAATCCGAGAGATTACAGAGTCGGCGCATGGAGAATCATCAAAATCTCAAAATCCGAAAATCTATACCTTAATCCGGCTATGAACGGGGTTATACCAAAGTATCTAATACATAGATTGTTTCCAAACTCAAAGTTTAGTATATGGAGTGACGCAAAAATCCAGCTCATGATTGATCCGCTACTTCTAATTCATTCGATGTTAGTGGTTCCTAAGGCCGATATGGCGATATCTAAACACCCGTTTTTCGTAAATACAATGGAGGAAGCGATGGCTACCGCGAGGTGGAAGAAATGGGGTGATGTGGATGGGCTAAGAATGCAAATGGAGACTTATTGTGAGCTTGGTTTGAAGCCTTGGAGTTCTCATAAGTTGCCATATCCCACAGGTAATCAAATTTTCCCTAAATCATAACGAACAAGCTTTAGATTTTCTTTAGTGGTTAATTAATGATTTGAGTTGCATTTGCCCAAATATAGGAAAGTTAGGCATGGTTATAAACAAAAAATCTAATAGAGTAATCACAAAGTATTAATTGTTAGTTTTGGACATATTTATTATACGCATAATTAATTAGATAGTGGACTCAATTGTGCAAGCTTATAGTGAATTATTTTGTTTTTAGACTTTAACTTTGTTTTCTATGAAGTCGGTTTTATTAAATGAAATCAGATAGTTTCTGTCAAATATCTCTTTTTAATATGTACAAAAATTTGGTATAAGGTTGATTTCCTGTTAAGTATATAATTCGAGTCTCCATGTTATTAAATGTGTGTTTTTTCTTTTAACTTCCCATGTTTTTAAATGTTATAATAATAAGGTAAACATCTTTAGAAAAACATATACCTTACTTTGTCTAGAATGTTGGTGTGTACTCTTATTACTTTGCAATAAAGACTAAAGAGTCATGTCTTATACATGAAGATTGGCTTTAGTTGGTTAGGTTATGTTCTTTTTACTTGTGGCATTTCTAAATTGAAGTCACGGGTAATCATGAAAACCATACTTTCAATTATTCAATTTGTAGAGAAATAACTCGATGTATTAATTAGTATGTAGTTGCTTACAGTAACCCAAGAAAGAAAATAGGAGTACAATCAACAACAAAAAATAGGATAAGATGGTCAATAAAACTAGTGCATGTTCTTTGCTTAACTTTCAGCTGTAGATTTGTTTTTATTAGTTTATTTGTTGGATATATTCTCTTAAAAATAAATTAAAATCATAGTTGCAATTGACGTGGTCCCATATGACACATCAATGAGTATGTGAGATAGAGATTGTAACAAGATCAAAAGAACAAGTTGTTCGATGGTTTATATCGGTCCAGGAGAAGATTTTTAAGTCAATTAAAATGGATAGAAATGCAATTGGACCAACGACAGTTCCATTTTTTTAACATAGGGATGAATACTATTTTAGAAGTTTATGTTCATTGAAAAATCTGATTATTCTTGTTAATTGAAATGATTATATGAATTCAGGTTTGTGTTAATGCTGTGAGTTTTCAAATGACATTTGTTATATTTATTTGTATATGAATTAGATGTACCAGATAGTGCGTTGATATTGAGAAGACACGGAATACGAAGCAATCTATTTTCGTGCTTCATGTTCAACGAGTTAGAAGCGTTTAACCCGCGAGACCAATTGGCGTTTGCGTTTGTGAGAGATCACATAAACCCTAAGGTGAAAATGAACATGTTTGATGTCGAAGTGTTTGAACAAGTAGCTGTTGAATACAGACACAATCTCAAAAAGATCGAGACATTTTCGTACGAGGAACAAGAAGAAGAACAGAAACAAGAATCGTTGAAGACAATATATAAGAGAAAAAGATGGTTAGATCGTGAATCTTGGTTTTTTAATAGTAGTAGCTCTAAAAGTTATCTCATGGAGATGTGGGGTGAATCTCACCATTAATATTTTTTCTCCATTTTTATTAAATCAATAGTATTACATATGTATTTGTGGGGGGGGGGGGGGYGGTTTGGGGTTATATACTTCAATTTTTACATATATATATATCATTTTTTATCATTTATTATTGAATCGATATTTAAATTATTTTTAACTTTACGAAATATTGTTACATATGTATTTATGGGGCTTACTGAGGTTATATAGATCAATTTTTACATAAAGATTATCATTGTAGCGGTAAGGGCACCATTTGTTTTATCCCTCGTATCTTCAGGGATAAAAGATTATGCTTGTAATTATTTTTCTCGGACAGTGAGTTACTTCATCGAGAAAGGATATTCAATTGAAGTAAACGAATAAAAAAGCTTCTTACAATGCCTTGGCAGCCACCACGCTATATATGTCCATCATTATGAAATATCTCCAACATAAAAAAACTACACTTATAGTTTGAAACCAAATAATGTGTGTTGTGAAAAATTTTCATAATGGATTTCTTGATCTCTTTCAAGAGTTTGTGGGGATGTTGAAAATTTTGGAAACCATAATCTCAAAAGTAGTTGTTATGCAATAAGCCAAGTGAAAAATGAGAATATATGCATTCAGCCTCCGAAATGCGTGATCAATTATCTCTTTGTAATTTGTTATGAAGACTATGAGCCTATCCTCGTCACATGCTGATTTCAGTCCATCCAAGACGTTAAGCGTAGGCAGTGTTACCTAATCAGAAAGACAATCAAAATTTAGGTTTAAACAAAAGCTCGAAACTTAATAGAATATTGTGAATCGAGTTCAATCCTTTAGTTTATCGGACTGTCCAAGCTCAATATCTCTATTTTTGTTGAAACCTACGATGCAACAATCGATATCCTCCACAACAATGATGCAACAATTGGATGTGATTAACACAACCTTTCAAGTTCACAATTATTGCTAATTTTACCCAAATAAAGCACATATATATCAAATTTTAAGTAATATGCCATGGCAATGATCAAACTACTCTTCCCTGTCCCGGGGTGTAGGACCATGCAGTAAAATGAAAATATGAATTGCATATTACGAGAGGTGAATTGCCTATCTTCCAAACTGTCCCCATTGTCTTTTAATACTCATTTGTTCTCATAATTTTTTGAAGATCATCTATGATATTTCTCTTAAGCTCAGGATCTAAGACAAAAGTGTCAAACGTAGATGGATTTATGAAATTCAAAGGGTTCCAATATTTTTCTTTATCCACAAAAAATAATCTGAAATGCCTTCATCCTTCGCCTAAAATAACTAGATTCTTCACAAAAAGAAAATCAAAGTAACGGGAGAGAATAGAATTTGCAACACATCTAGAGGGAAAAACAACTTCATAGAACTTTAGAATCTCTGAGTTGTTAGATTTGTCGGACTCTCAACAGAGCGAAAGATCCACTTTGCCTTATATCCCTCGAAACTGTTCATAATATATACACTGATTTGGTTTCAAGATTAAAGTGTAGCTTGAATTCTTGTCTAGGAAGACACGTAGTTTGTTGCTGTTGTAGACATTCATAATGATAGACAAACATATTGTGGCGGCTGCAAAAAGTTGGCACGGTAAGTAGTCTTTATATTCGTTTACTTCAATTGAATATCTTTCTTGATGAAGTAGTTCACTACGCGGGAAAAATAATCAGAATCATAATTTTTTATCCCTTAAAATACCAAGGATAAAATGAATGTTGTACTTAAGCTTACTGTCAAAATGGTGGATGTTTTTTTCAACAACTTATCCATTTGAAGCTTATCAATCTAAAAAAAAAAGATATATACTCAGCACATTAAAACTCATCAATCATATCCCAAACACACAAATACTTCAGTACATTAAAACGATCAACTGTATAGTCTCCTATGGTAAAGATAAGCAAAATTGATATCAACTATTCAAAAATCTGGGTAGGTCAAGTTCTTTTATTCTTTTTAAAGTTAGAAATTTTTTGTACGGTTAGCTTTTTCCGCAAATATCAAATTTATTTTAGATCCGTCTTCCCAATTGTTATTTTTTTTATTAATGGATTATTAACTGAATTTTTCTTTATTAGAGTTCCAAATTGTTAATTTTTTAGAGTGTTGCTTTACCATTACTAGATTAACATTGTGCCACTTCGTTAAGGAAATTATACCTTATGAGCTCACCTCTTGTAGTATGCAATTCATATTTTAGTTTTTCTTCAATTTAGCAAATAGAAAAGAGTCAAGTAAATTAAAGGCTAACGTAAGAAAATAGCCTATAAATATTTTTATAAAATGATTATCTTGTAATCGCAAATATCCGCGAGACCAATTGGTGTTTACGTTTGTGTGAGATCACATAAGCTATAGGTAAAAATGAATATGTTTGGGGTCTAGCTTTAAAGTTAGAAAATGAATAACTTTTATTGAGAGACCAAGATTTATGATCTAGCCATCTTTTTCTATATTGTCTTCAGCGA